AAATTTTCAGGAAATCTAAGTTTAGTGAAGCCCTTTCGAATGACACCAACCGCGATGAAATCGGTCAAGTCGTTCAAAAGTTACAAGAGGTTTACACACACACACACACACACACACACACACACACACACACACACACACACATACAGACACCGTGACAACCTCGCGGGGATAGTCAGGGAAGCTTCCTGTGACCTTCAAACGTCGAGATCTGATGAAAACTCGATTTTTGCAAAACGGGGTAAAACCAATAACTTCCCGATTTTTGAAAATCTGAGATTTTTAGCGGGAAGTTAAAAAAATTAAAAAATCTAAGTAACCGATATGATTGTATATGATTTTCTGAAATTAGAAAAAATTTTGTTGTAAATTTAAAAATTAAAAAAAAAATTTTGGAATGTACTTGGTGTGCGTCATTGTGTATTTTAATTTTTATAAAGTCCTAGTAAATAGAATTCATGAATTTCATTAAAAGTAAAATATTTTGCAACCACGCACACTAAATACGTTACCTAAAATTTTTTTTTTTAATTTTAAATTTACAACAAAATTTTTTCTAATTTCGGAAAATCATATACAATCATATCGGTTACTTGGATTTTTTAATTTTTTTATTTTATATCTTTTTGTAAAGAAAACAAAATTTTTTTTCTTAATAGTCTTATGAACGTGGACTTGGCGCGATTTTTTTACAGTGAAACTGTTTTTGTTCGGATTTTGTATTCTGGGTAGAAAAAAACTTTTTTTTCAGTGTGATGCTCGTTTTTACTTCATTATTTGTGTGGTTAGTGTTTTGTCAAACGATACCATTAATTTTGTTAACCAACCTGAATTACTCCAGTACGATTGAGAATCGCATGCCCGATTGGCTGAAAACGCTCCATTTGCTTCAGAACTTCTGCTACCTTCGGTTCTTCCAAATCAACCAAACGGAATGCTGTCATGTTAACATTGTTGTACTTAAAGTCTTCTAGATCAAACGTTTCAATATCCTACAAGTAAGTACAGAGAAAATAGGTATCAATAGATATTTGTTTATTAATTGTATAAGTGAAAAAATAAGAAAAATTTTTTCTCTGCTGTATTTATATGATAAAAGGTGTTTTTAAAAATTAAATTTAGAATAATTGGAAAATATTTATCTAAATTTGTGTCTTTTGAAGGTTTGATATGATTTTCCGCGATCTTTAATTTACTATAATAAGTTTTCAAAGTAATTGAACTATGTAAATGTTTTCAGTAAAAAACACTAGATATATAGTGAATTAAATGCGCTAGTTGAATTAGTGAAATTTTCATCAATTCATTTTGGAAAATCAACTTTTACTATTTCATTTTTAGAGAGTATGGCTAAGAAAATTATATCTTTTTTATTAGCGACGCAAATGGTTTAGTCGAGTAAAATCTTGATTCCGGAAACGTGATTTAACATGTAGAAAAATAACTTTTAAATATTGAAAGTACTGCGAAGAAATCTTGAAACTTGACAAAAAAAAATTAACTTGTCAATCCGTTTATTTCATCAAAGGTTATGTTATTCTCACAACTACGATAAAGTGCTTTTAGATGAAACATCGGAGGAAACGCTTTTGCGGTTTAAAAGTTTTCACTTTTTCATCTAACAGTGCAGTAGAACTAGGGAATTCGCGATAAATAAATTTTTTTCCACTCACTTTATTTTATTGATACACTCTACAGTTTGAAAAAGTTTGCCTTCATTTCACAGTTTATTAGTATCGACAAAAAGTTTTATAAAAAAATATTTTCAACTAAAACTAGTGAATAGAGTAAAAAATATGCTAATAGAAGATTACTGTGAAAAAGTTATTAAACCCTTGTAATTATAAATAAATCCAGCTATTGCATGGATATTTTTTTGTTACAAAAACTATTAAAAATATTATACTCGACGAATGGTTTTAAAAAAGTTTTATGAATTTATTTTCGATTAATATTTCGATGTGTCAAATAATTTTGGAAGAAAATACAGTGTAAACTCTCAGTGTATATGGAAAACATAAATTTAAATAATAAATAAAGTTTTTAATTCTTATTGATTATCATGATTATACATGACCGAACGATACGAATAAATTTCATAAGATAAATAAAATTTATCGGTATTTCATTTAAATAGGTGATAACTTGATAAGTTTCACTTGAAATATTATGATATATTATCAATTAAAAAAAAAATTAGGAAAACGGTTGACCCTCAAGGCCATCCCTGCAACTTCCCGCTAATTCTATACTTAAGCGCTTAAAATTTTTCTTTTCAGTGCAGTAGCATTTCAGTGCAGTAGCATTTATTCAGTGTCACGAAAAATATAAAAAACTATAAGAGTGACAGAAGATTTTAATAACGTTTTGTTCAATTTTGCTTTATCAACATTTTTTCTCATTCATATTTATGACAAACAATATAAAAATAATATATATGTGTTCTGGATACTCGATATTGTGTTCGCATTATTATCATTTATTCACGAAATTAATTACAGAGTTACTTATATAACTGTATGTAACGTCAATATTCTTTGTGTTAAAAGATGTTATTTGATAATGTACCTTGTTATTTTTAATATTTACATTTAATTTAATTCTGAATTTGAACATAGATATTCGGTATGTAAAATAATATGTGAACTGATAGGTTAGCATTGTTGATATATTATTATGACTACGATTATCATCCATGATTTATAAACAATAATGAAAATTATCAGGAACTTGGACTATAAAAAGTAACTCAGTGTCAAATTTTTTAAATGTTGCAACGTTTCGTTGTATTTCACAACTTCATCAGGCAAACTGTACAAAAGAAAACACATTGTTAATAACAATATGACAAGGATAACAAAAAGATAAATATTAAAAAATCTTACATTTAAGGTTAACACTGTTGTATCTCAAAATAAACTCCGAAAAATTTCATCGTTTTACAATATATAAATAAAGTTGAACAAGTGGTAACCATAATATTAAGAAAACTTAGTCAATTTCCAGAAAGAACAGGATCTGGGGAACTCCGAACTTCATGGTATCAAAAGCCATATAGTTCGGGGAGAGTTCTGAACTTCAAATCAAATCATCCTCTGAGCCAGAAGCTAGGTGTAGCACAAGGTTTCTTATAACAGAGCCATACGTCTAAGTCATGTGAATATGGTGGCTGTAAGTACTGGTAAAGTGAAACACTTGCTCATGAACAACAACTATCCGTCATCTCTTCTCAGGAAGTGTGAGAAAATTACTAATGATAGAATTAATAGTAATTTGAGGATTGAGGCTGGTTTGAGAGGGTGGTCGTTCTGTAAGTTTCCCTATATTAAAGGTTTGTCACCCAGGATTGGATGCTTGTTCAGGCAGACTAATTGTAAATTAGTCTTTTACAATTTGTGTAAAATCAAAGATCTTTATAGTCATATAAAAGATCCAGTTGATAAGTGGGATAGATCTTGCTTGGTGTATCGGATCCCTTGCACTTGTGGCAAATCATATATAGGACAAACGAAGCAGAAACTTAAGAAGCGGATTAATCAACACATCAACGATTGCAGACCTGTCAACATTAACAAGAGTAACATGACGGCATTGGCGGATCATCAATTTGAGAGCGGGCATGACTTTCAGTTTGACGCTGCTCATATTTTAGACTATGAATCTCATTTTCTAAAACGTAACATCAGTGAGATGTTTTTCATTAAAGTGTTTGATTGCGTCAACTTTAGGTCTGATACTCAGGGGTTAAGTTCATCATACAGTGACATCATATCAGTGACTAAAAGATTCATGCACCCTGATAGCCATCATCCAATTGTAAAAGTTAACGTTAAGTTGCAGTCCAACTTTTATACAATCTAGGGCCGAAATTTGACTTTAACTTTTATCAAAATGTTTTAGTAAAAGTCTTAATGTGAAGTTTTAGTGAAGTTGGACAAAATGAATGAAAACACTCATTGATATGGCAGTTTATCAGAATTTGTCTCTTTTTTACATCGGTAGGTAATTTATCGGTAAAAAAACGAAGCACAGTAAAAATTTTTAACTACTGCTTCCGTGACAAAAAAATTAATACTTTATTGTTAAACCGGGGACTCGAACCCGAATCGCCTGGTTCCTAGCCAAGCTCACCATCAGTCGAGCTATCTTCGACTCATACCATCATCGCGTTTTCAGTCACTTATATCTGACACAATATTTTTATAATGTAAAAAATGTAAAATTGTATTTGCAATTATGAATATAAAGTGAGTGAATTGAATTAATTTAATAGTTTTTTGTTTTTAGCTATGACATTGAAGTTAGCAATCACTTGACTATTTTGTAATTTTTTTTTAACAAATAAATTAATTCCAAAAAATTATTTATAAAAAATTACATTTTTTATTATTATAAATTTCTACATGTCAATTTTTTTTTTCTAACTATTTTTTACCATAACATACTTGTTAAAAAAAATTCCTAAAATTATCAAATGTCAGCTAAATTAATTTTTCATTTTTTTGCTTCGAAAATGTATAAAAGTGTTTCAATAATTTATTAATAAAAATAAATATCTGAAATTATGTGATGTTTAATTTTCTTGAATATAGAAATACTCTGAAATCTTTGATAAATTTATTTACAAAGCATTAAAATTTTTTTCTATCGTCCTATTATTTTTCATTAATTTTTTATAAGAATTCTTACGAAAAATAAGAAATCACTTAAGTGATTGACAATTAACCTGCAAAAAACTTTTTTAAATCATGGTTTGCTAATCAACGTAAAGGTCCGAATAAAAATAACTTAAAGTAACATTAATTTTTCTATGAATTTTAAAGTAATTTTTGAAGTGAAACTTCTAAAATTACTTTAAAATTCATA